ATATATGTCTAGTTCAGGAAAAGCTTTATCTTATTTATCGGGAATTATGGGGGGGACAAGTTTATCACTTATCTTCAATTAACACTTTTAAGCAAAGATCTACCAATCCTATGAAATTCCCAGTTAGCTCATTTTTATATTAAAATTGGAAACAATTTTAAACCTTCGTCGAGAATATCTGAAATAGCTTAATTATGTAACAGATATGCTTATTCGTTTGCAGAATAGCTCTCCTTAGAACAATTGAAAAAGAAAACTTGTGACTTCTGTGTTTAATTGAAGTTGCTGGGATGAAATGGATGTATATAGAGATAGCACACAAGATTATCGAAACACAATTGATATTCAAAATGTTAATCAACTGAATGATTTCCAGTGACCTTAGAGTTAATCAGATTCTTATTTTGTTTGGTGTTGGGTGCTATGGTACAGTCACCCAAAGATCCCGAATCCCTGTTTCCTGATTATATAAATGATCATCAATATGTTTACAGTTTGTAAACGTATCACTTGATCTGTGAAGTCCAAGCATATTAGTAATCAATCAACGATTGATTATATCAACATAACAATGCTATTTCATTACCATTTAAATCCACTGTTTCACTATCCTAATCTTATTTTATGAGAAGTTTCATTTAACTTCCAAATAAAAATTCAATGGTAAATTAACCTGAAGACTAAAAATATTTATAACTAATCATCTTGAAAAGAAAAGATGATATTTTCAGAGAAAAGCTAAAAACAAATAACTATATATAAGGTCATCACAATATTTGATTAGTCAGGCTGACTTTTGTTTTCCATTGATTAAGTAATTAGATGAGCAGGATTTTTTTATACATTTTTCCTCACATTTTCCAAATCCGCGTGCATGTGTGTGTACGCACTCAATCTTCGTCCAGTTAATCTACCTCAATATGCTTTAATCAGTTCAGATTTTAATCTCTAGAGATTCTGGATAGTAGAAGTTATACGAGAGAAAAAATTATTTCATTTATTTTTTGTCATTTTAATTGTATTTTACGGAAGTGATGCAGGCACACACACACAAATTCATCGAATAGATATAAACGAATACTTGTAAGCAATGAAAAAACAATAATCCTATGTCTAGAGAAAAATAAGTCAGACTTTTAAAATAGTAGTAATCAGGAGATTACAATTTGTTCAGTAATGTTTATTATTGATTTCAATTGAAACGTATAAATATTATGGAACCTTTAAGATTATACTTTACAGTGGAGTTCAACCGGGTCTGTTGTGAGATAGCAACTCACTGATAACAATGGCGGACGTGGCGCAATTTCGTGGATTGGTTGAAGTTAGACATTAACATTGTTGGATTCCGGTCGCGCGCGAGACTGTTAGGTCCTGGGTTCGAATCTGGCGTGGCGAAATTGTGGATGAGCACTGCTGAGGAATCCCACATTAGGATAAAACGACCGTCCAGTGCTTCCGGGTTTTTCATAGTGGTCTAGCTTCAATTGACTCATGAATACAACTATTAAATTTGGAAAACTATAACTTCATAGTTATATTAGCCTTGCCTTGCTAAAAAAAGACAAATATCTACTATAAATTATATTCATATGAGCACCACTGAGGAGTCCCATATTAGGACGAATCGACCGTCCAGTGCTTCCAGGTTTCTAATGATGGTCCAGCTTAGATTTACTCGTAGTTTCAGCAGAGAAAATATTACAATCTCTACAAATCCCCATGCAGATAAAGTAAAGCAATAATCAACTGCCTGAGGGAGCCAAATATATGAAGAAAATGATTCAACTTTAACCCTTAGTGGTTTAGTTCGTCTCCGACTGTGATATTGATTGTTATAAGTACTCATAAACATTTCCCACATCTAAACACATCAAAATGCGATCATCAGAACTGTAGCGTAAATTATGTATCTTTTATTCAATGTAATAATTATATCAGAATATTTAAAATTCTTAAGCTGTAGGGTCACAGTAAACTAATAATATGTTATCGTATTTCACTTATTCGGCGAGACTATAATTTATGGACGGGCCCATCAGAAGCGTTAGAGGGGTTTCAAGGTCGAGGCGCCAATTTCGGTACCTGATGCTCACGTACAATCGGTTTACAGCGGATTTAATAGAAGATATGATAATTGAACGGCTACAACAAATGGGATTACTAAGAAGTTTCTTTATTTGTGACTGAGGCAATCAAATAGACGAAACGGTAGTCAGGAAGCGAAAATTTAACAAAGGACGTAGTATTAAAGAAGACCGGGTAAGTAACACTTCCATAAATATACCTCACAGGTCCTTGGAATCTACGACAGGTCAACTCAAAAGGGATACTTTCATAGGGTCATAAACCGACAGGCGACGATCATAATACCAATTATACGGAAATATGTGTAGCCAGGCAATACAATATATATAGAAGATTGGAGAGCGTACAGATGCCTGCATAGACTTATCCATAAGCGTCACTTTGTGTGCCCTATAACTGGAGTGCACACTAACAATATTGAAGCTATGTGGTCGAGGCTGAAGGAGTTTTTACGATCTTATCATGACTCGAAAGGCCGACTATTATGGAGCCATATTGATTAATACCCCCTACCATATACATCACGATTTCAGGACCTCCGAATCTCTTTCTAACCTTGACAAGCTTTTGAACTATGTAAAAGAAATGTATCCATTTTAATTTTTTCGGTTTTGTATAATATATTTTTACTTTATACTAACTGTTTTATGATTAGTTATTATATTTCTCAAGGCCATTTAAGATTTATTCAAAGGTCGTTCATAAATTGTAATCTCGCCGAAAACATCGGCATTAGCAGAGAAATCCTATTTCTAACATTTCTTTTACATTACTTTTCTTTCATTGAACGGTATCACTCTCGTAAAGAATCAAACCTAAATATATTGATTAAGTGATTGAAGTTTAATTAGTTATCATAACTTGTAAAATACAAAAACCAAATAGAAATTGGTCTACATCGATTTAGTTAAATTCGCTTACTAAACGATATATATATATATATATATATATATATATATACCGGATTCAAGTATTGAATTTCAATAAAGCCTCACTTTGTTTATATGTGTATATAAATATTCCAAAGTATAAATAACTCAAGATCAAATAAACTTTTAAACCAAAAAACCATATCATCATAACAAATATAAACACTGTTACTGAAGTTTATAACAAACAAAATAAACTGAAATTGATTGAAAATAAAACGAAAAACATTAAGAGTTGAGAACAAATAAAATTGAAAGTGAAAACAAGCACGCAAAACAATGTGTGAGAAGGAAAACAAGAAGAACCATAGAAGACAATTTTACAAAGTCAAGACGAAGAAACAGAAACAAAGAGAAAAGAACAACAAAATCTCACCAAAATTTGAAAAGGTAGTAAGGTTAACAATGAAAGGAAAAATTTCTGTGTAACACATTTTTTATTGTTTATTTCTCTTTCGTGAAACAACGAAATATTATCATGACATCAAAACATAAAAGGGTTTCTATCTCTTTTTTAATGCCTAATTATTTCGTGTGTTGTTTTACAACGGTTTTCTGTTTATTTTTTACACCGAGTTTTACACATCACATTTACCGTACAAACATTTATACATGCAATTCCGTGAAAATGAAGAAAAAAAATGCAAAAATATTGTGTAAGAATTAACTGTCATCTTTGTTTATTTTCTTTTTTTTTATTATTATATCTTTAGTTTTGTTGATCGTCCTCACTCTTTCTTTTTCTTTCTCGGTTGACATTATGGAAGACATTATAACATATTTTTTTTAAACAAAAGGATACTGTTTTCGTATTTCATACAAATAAGATTAATTTTACAGAGAAATGTGAATACTTTACATTTATTAAGTTATTAATTCGAATGAATGATGAATAACTTTCACTGATCTGAAGATCAATCAATGAAATTTCATATTCTTATTAGATAGAATGTATAAACCTTCACTTTGTATTTATTAATGTAGAGAAAGAAAAAGTTACAGGGATTTGAGAAGCAATAATTCTAATGGTTACGAATAATAAGTAAGAGGAGTTCATCAAAGAAATATACTATACATTAATTACTTTACTTTTGTACACCTTTTTTCAATTGTATATAATACAGAATGAAAGAATTCCAAACATAAATAAGTACACGTAACATATCTCATATATATGACTAAATAACAATCAGAATAACACTGATGTCAATTACTCTCTATTACATAAGAAGTCCTATGTGATTGTGAATGCAGCTTTGTTTTTTATGAAAGACTATTGTGTTTTATACTTTTTATTATCATTATTATTATTGTTACCATTACTATCACTAATTACATCCATCTTTATGTGATCACCTGATACACCTACATAATAATGATAATTTATTCAAACAGAACAAAATATGTTTTTTTCAAAAAAATAAGAAGAAATTGAAAATACTTGAGTAAAAAAAGTAGTTGAACTAACTATATTGAAAAATACGAATAAATAAAGGTAAACCAACGAGAAAAATAACACAAACAAGCGGAACAGTCAAAGAGAAAACGGTGAAGAAGACTAGTCAGTATCAATGTACACAAATATAAAAATAAGAGAGTGCAACAAAAGTTGATCTTTTAGTAGGAAAAACACACTTCACGGAAAGATTCAACAGTGAAAATTATGTTCCAGTTTGATTCAACATTGAAACATACTACTGATTAATAGAGAACAAGTAATAGATATCTAAACAAAAGATAAACGTAGATAAGACTTAAACCATCAATAATTATCATTTAAAATTTGAAATTTGTCAGCCTTGTGTTCATCAATCAGTTCATCAATATATTGATGGATATATTTTGATTTCTGACTAATTTACTCATGAAACTACAATTGTAAGGGTACCAGTCTGTAGGTTTACATAAAAAGTAAGCATGAATTGTAAAAGATATATTTCTAAGTCCCCTTTTTGGATACCGAATAAAAGGGATAAAAATGAGTTAGTCATTTGAATTAGAATTCAAATTGTGTCTTGTAGACTGTTTTTTGTAGCTGTTTATTGTGTCAACATCGTCATCATCATCTTCTTCTGCGTTCTCCGCCTCATCCTCATATAATTCTGCACTGATTCCCTCCTCGTCATCCTCTTCATCCTCATCATCATCGCCTATGTCTTCAACACACTCACCTTGATCTTCACCTTCATCAAGATCATTATTTTCGTCGATTATTTTGTTATTTGTTTGTTTCATCTGATCGATAAACTCATTAGTAGAGAAATAGAGATGTCTAGATAAATCATTTGATGGTAGTAAGCGTAGTTGATTACATTCACTTATTGATAAATTTATTTTACTCATTAAATCTATTTGGTTGTATTGTTGTTGGCGGTGGCAGTTTTGATTATCATTGTCATCATCATGACCATTATTATTACTACTACTCTCGTTTGTCGAACTATCTGTATTTTTCACATCATTTTCAGTATGAATATTATTATTGGTGTTATTATTATTATTATCATTGAAACAATATTGTTTATATCAACCGATCCATTTAATTCATGTGAAAGTTTTATTTCTGAATTAGCATGAAAATGATTTGGTTTTTCATTGGTCAAATAAATTGTATTATTATTATTATTAAGTGAAATAGCATTGGCAGCAGCTAGTGAAGAACATAATTCTAAAGCTTGTTCAGTTAATGTTAACTGCCCATTAGTCATCGTACTTAAGAAACGGCGATCAAATTGTTGACTATTAGTTAAATCACGCATTAAAAACTGATTATTATTATTATGAATAAGATTATTGTTACTGACACTCGTAGTAGTAGCAATAGTAGCAGTAGTAGTACCAGCAGCAGTAGTAGTATTGAACAGATCTAAATGTACCTGATGTGAAGGTAAATTACCTGATACAGGGAATGTATAATTTGCTTGTGAATTGCAATATGGGTAAATTGATTTAATTAAGTTGTGGTTATTATTATTATTATTACTATTATTACTATGAATTGTTTCATGTTCAGAATTATGTAACCGACTGTTGTTAGTTGAGTATTTACTAGTATCATTATTCTGATCTAATATATCCAATGGAAATCTCAACTGATGCGATGACGATGCTGACGATGAAGATGACGGTACTAATTGTGTATTCATAGGGTGCGATGAACTCTGTGAATGATGACGATGATGATGATGAGGAGGATTCGACTGCTGTTGTTGCTGGTTTTCTTGTTGTGATTGTAGTTGATGTGGAAATGAGTGTTGAATTTGTGTTGTTAAGTGTAAAGAATAATTATTGGAAAAATTTTCCGCATTCATTTGTTGCTGTTTACAAGTTGAATTTTGTGATGCATAAATAGTAGTTGGAATAGTTGAAGGACTATCAGTTGAATTCAGTGTATTAAATGTACGGTGTTCTAATGGGATCATATTATTTCCTGAATTATCACATTTATATAAATCACTTTTATCATTATTGTTACTTAATACTGTTCTTGCAAGATTCGAATTTAACGGTAACTGATTACTAGGTTTAGTAAAACTATTACAAGAAGCTAAACTATTATTTCGTGTTATTCGTTCCAATTCTGTTGGATTCCCTGATATGAAACTATTATCCAATGCTTTTAATGTTGATACAGGAGTAGTAATTGACAGTGAACATCCAGGTTGATGTCTAGATGGTAATAAATAAGGTGTACAATTACTGAAATCACCATCTTGTGAACAGCATAAATTATGGATCATACTTGGCTGTTGCCCATGTTCGTCACTACGACTGTATGGGGAATCTGACGGTGAATTAATCGTACTCGACAGTTTACTTGTATCTTCTTGCCATTTGTCTAGTGATCGACGACGAGCATTCATAAAAAAATTTGCTACTGTTGAAACTTGTAATCCAAGTTGTTGAGCTATTGTAGACTAGAAAATCATAAATAAATGCAAAATAAAATTGTTTTTATCGATTTGTTGAGAACATTAGTTCACCCATAAGATATGGGCCGACTTCAGCTAAACAATCACTGGTGCAATCAGCGTCCGATGATGAAAAGCTCGAAACAATAAAACAAAAACTGTTCAATGCTCCTTTGTTTTCACTGTTTCGCTAATTGTAATAGGTCCACAAAAAAGGATTAATAAAAAAATTTATATCGAGTTCCAGGTCAGTGATATAAATATTTAAGATCTTTAGGGAAGTTCGTTTGTCCCTTATTCTATCCTTAGTTCGGTTTCAAGTGTGCAGTACTGAGAAGTCTTATACTGGGAAAATACAGCTATTTATGGCTTTCTGGTTTTCAATGGGCCTCTAGCTATTTTCAGTCAGAGACGCAAAGGATTTATCAGCTAAACTAAACTCAAACAACCTCTGAACAATTAAGCGAACTTTTTAGAAATTTAATCTCTAAAACATAATAATGTTGAAACAATATTTTCTGTTTGTATTACTGACATTATTAAAAATTGAACATTAATTCATTTTATTAATAGTTTAATTACTTCTATTTGGAATGTTCTGATCATATGGAGGTGTATGATATATTTTATAGTTAATAATATTTTAAGAAATGTACCGTTATTATTTTAATTCGTTCTTTTATATATCATCATCAGTAAATAGTTGGCAGTATAATCACCATTATTATTGTTATCATCATCGTGATTATCATGAACGGATTATTATATATATTGTCTACACTGTATGTCTAATTACAAATACACAGACAAACACATATGGCTACATGGACTCACACAATAACAATATACAGTTTTATTTATAGATACACGATTAAATAATGAGCAAATGGTGAAACACACTCAACTACACAAGTATACTCACGTAAACAATCTTTTAATGAAGCATACCAACACCCACTAACTGAACCAGTCTTTATTTAAACTATTCTCAACATATAAGACAGTTAAGAGTTGAAAAGAATATAAAGAAATAACAGATAATGAAAAGAAAAAAGTAGAGATACAACTTGATTTTCAAGAGTGTGGTCTTATTTTGCGTGAGCCAGGTGTACTCTTCATAGACATATTCCCACGAAAGAAGCAGTTTTTCACCATTAACATTATTATTATCATTATTGATACTATTAATACTGTTTAGTATTACCCTTATTTCTCGTTATTCCTATACTTTATTCAATGTTGATGTTTTATTTTCCAGTCACATCATTTCTCATTTAAAATGATAAAAGAAAAATATTTCTCACCTTTATTTCACTAAAAAATATGTTTTTTTTAAAAATGTTTTATTTTGTGTTTAGCAGACTGGACATAGTACTTGTCATGTTGCTCCTCTTTTTTTCTTGTACTCTACATATTATCATCGTTTTCTTTGCTTTATTCAAAAAAGGATAATTAGATTGGGTTTCTTTTTTTTAAAAGAAACAATGAGGTAACCACAGTAAGTCGATTTGATAGACTATCCTTCATTACCTTTATCACCTAGTGGAAATTTTAGTTATTTTCTGGTAGTTTTTTTGGTGGTATTATTATCTCTTATTTTGAAGAATTAATAATAATAAAAAAAATCATATAGGTCAATAATAATTAAGTTTTATCTTGAAATCAACTGGATGTATTTGTTACATTTTGGCAAATTTATTGACTGATTAATTGCTTAAGTTTCCTTCAAATAACGAAGGAAATACATCGTATCATTGAAGAATAATTCAAGAAAATTTAATAAAGAAAATTCCTGTTTCGATTATGTCATTTGTTTAAACTGTACAATTGTATTTATAGTTAATTCTTATAAATAGTAGTCTATGATAAGACGGAGAAGTGTTGTGTTGTTAAAAAGTATAATTAACAACAGAATACTATATTCGATATTTAAAACATTTTATTATTGATTATAACTTCTTTGAATGAGATGACAATCCCTTAACTTATTACGGACTACTATATGTAGAGCTTAATCATAAATACAACTACATAGTCTAAGTAAATAATATGTCTGAGAAGAAATTTTCTTTCACTGAAGTGTCTTTGAATCGTGTTTTTGTAGATTAAGATAATGAAACTGAGATTCTAATTCACTTGTGATGGATTTTTAGAGATTAGATCAATTTGTCAGTGGTATTCGTTATGTTTAGATATCAGTTCGGGTATGAATAAAAAAATCTGAGTCCCACACTATGATAAAATACTTGTTCAGTTCTTTTTGCTTTTCAGTACTATTTCAACTGATATAAATACATGACGAATACCATCCAGAACCTGAAATTTATTAACCATGTGTCGATCTGTTTATTTGTCAAAGATTTCAACATAACAAGGTTGTTTACTTTTTAAATTTATAAATGAGCTGTTCAAAGGTGAAAGTTAAGATTCCCAGGTAAACAAATTTAATCTTCTGAATTCATGAACAAGGATTGCTTGAGTGAATCCGTTGTGTTAGTGATGCTCCAGTGGTCCTAATCTGAGCATATAGAGCTGGCTGAAATAAAATTAGGCTGGATGAAAGCTGATAATACGAAGATTAGAAATACAATTCATAAGCTTTGTGGGGTCAGGTATAAATCTTTTTGGAAATTTCCAGGACTTATTATAGTGTCTTAAGACTTTTACGGAAGGTTTCACAGAAATTTCAGCCATTTTTCCATTTACTACAATAAGTAGATAGACGTAACAACATATATCATACAAAAATAGGTTGGTTTTGATTGTCACTTTTCTCACTATCATGAAAGAAAGGAATACTGAACAAGTAACAGAAGAGAACACAAGTTGACAATATCTCTTTCGTTTAATAATGATCGAAGTTTATTCTCGCGAGTTTTGCTTATTATGTCATATCCCATCATATGTAACGTAACTCTTTTTGTTTTCATATCCCCTATCCCTCTAACAACAATTTCTACTTTTAACTGAAACTCAAATATTTTTATAGGCTACACAATAAATTAGTCAATAAAGTATTTCAAGGTAAATAACACTATTCAATAATCAGAAGACCTTTAACAGTATCTGACCTTAAGGGGGAACATTTCAAACTTGACTAGTTTTATACATGGTTTCTTCTTGCAAAAAAATAAAATTAGCTTTCACCGTCTTACATTCATCACCACGTTAATAATTCATTAAAACTAAAAGTTTCAGTTGAGTAGCTAAACTGGAGTTTCAACGTACTGTAAAAATTACTTGTCGAATGACAACATAAGATCTGTGATATTCTATAAAACAGTCGGTAATACGAATTCAAGCTATTCCTAGAAAAAAAACATGGAAATTCTTCTTGTAGAACCTCTTGTTGTTCTCTTTTTCTTATGGAATAACATGATCTAACACTTTTTAGACCATTTTCATTTGCGTATGTTTTCCTAGCTATGGTTAACTCCACAATTTACATCAACTGATACGCAAAACAAAATGGACGGCAAAGAAAAATGAATCACATATGAATTCTTTTAACAGCAATAAGACATAAACACATAAAATGTATACGTTATATTTACTCGCTTATTTATGTTTGTTATAGTTAATAAAGTTCACAACGAAGAGGCATTATATTTACTTGACACATCTATTTTTTGATTGCGACCATAAGTTGATTGGTGTTAGACCACCACAGAAAACCTGGTCACGCAATTCCGTGAACTGGTTGAAGTTAGACATTGACACCGTTGAATGCCGATTCAGTGGTCTGGGGGTTAAGCATTCTCACGCGAGACCAAGGGTTCTGGGTTCGAATCCCGAGTGCGGAATGCACACTGTTGAGGAGTCTAGTACTAGGACAGAACGGCCGTCCAGTGCTTCCAGGTCTTCATTGGTGGTCTAAAATCAATCGGCTCATGATCTCAATCAAAAACTTAAGAATTTCCACAACTCCATACTGATAGATCTATCCACTGTATTTACAGAAAGTTATGTTCACCATAACCTGTCAAAAGTCAATGGTAACCAAAGCTCTCACAGACTAAGATATCAGAGAGTGAAATCAGAAACAAAAATCATTAAAAGAGTTTAGAAGAGTGAGTAAATCTGTAAAATACAGTGGAATTTGTCAGTCTTTGAGAAGACAAAAGATAAAAGTGATCTGTTAGGCTAGTCCCAGATGACCTATTACTACCTTGAGGCCGACTAGGTTTGGAAACTTAGATGTTATCTGATAATAAGTATACTGCCAAATACTTTGTTGAATAGCCTGTAAACTTCCCTATATACTTCTTACTAATTATGTCGACTGAAATCATTTGATTAAAACATGACTTAGGACCTCTGAACATATGAATCACGATAATCCAAATAATAGAGGGCAGTTTTGCTTATTTTAGTCATATTGGATACAACTTAACCAAAATTGGGAGACGCACACTATAAGTTATTTGAATGTTTGAATATGGTTGCCTAGTCAAGTAAATTATATAGTTATTTGTTTAGTTCTAGTTTTAAAGACCTAAATACGACACTTGGATTTCAAGGTAGTTGTATATTAATACTATACAAGCGCAATGGTAAAGAACTAAGTATATTCATATCAAAGGCTCATGATATCACCGTTTATCAGTAGTTAACATTGTTTAGGTTTTTGAAAAGCTAGCAACTATCAATTAGAAATCTGTTGTTTCAAAGTTCAACAACTTAAATCGATACATCGATGACTCAAGCTATTCATTGTTCATGTCAATGGTAAATCTCATAAACTGTTCCCAGAAGGTTTTGAAGAAATGATGTACACATAGTTCTTATCGAAAACCAGAAATCCTTATTTACTTACATCATATACTTAATTAATTCGTATTATCAATACAAAAACACTTTGTGTATGAATTTTACTGAGTCTATTCGAAAACCATTGAAGTGACAGAGTCATAATGGACTCAGAAATATCACAAATTCCTGACACCACATATATATGTTTACAAAATCCAACATCTTAGATTTGAAAATCTTATTTAACATAATGGAAAGTTATTTTGGAATTATTTTTAAAAAAATTGAATGGAAATCAAATGTTTCCCACTAAAAAATGTTGAATTATTTCGTCACAACTAGTGCATAATCACGTACGCGATATAAAACAATAAGAAACTTTCTTTTAGCTTCTTAACACTTAAATTACCTGCATTTCTTTACTAGGTCGCTTAGTTTCTTTAAATATAGCCTGCAAAGTTCGTCTTTGTATATCAGTAAAAACAAGACGTGGTTTTTTAGGCTGACGACTTTCTGACAATTTGATTTGTTCTGATTCTTTTCGTTTACATACTACAGGACCTGAAATATATGAAAGAAATAAAATCGTTCTTAAAGATCAACTGTTAGAAATAAAAATAGACGAAATATAAGAAGTAAAAAAATGAGGTTAGTATAGGGGTTTGCAGGGATTACTAAATGTTAATGAGATCACCATCAGATATCGGTCAGTTGATCTAATGGTCAAGCCTTCGCCTTGAGAGCTAAGGGTTCTGAGTTTAGTCTTCAGTGGGCTGCTGAAAACCTTACCTGAGAGGTCCCGTATTACTACTATTACTACTAGCACTTAAGCCTGTTACCACTCTCTAAGCACAGACCACCGATCAGGAATCTCTAACCAACTCTGTCCTGGTCTTTCCATTCTAATTGTTGCCAAGTGCTTATAATAATGGTCTTAATGACTTTCTCCGATTCCTAACGCCGTGTGTTCTTTGATTTGGCTCTTCTTTTGCCAGTCTGCAGATACTTGTTCTTCCTCCCAAATCTTTCAAAAAAGAACGTGGATTGTCTCTGGAGTTACTCTATATTTTATCTCAGTGATTCAGATGGTATTCCGTCTGATCCCACTGCTTTGTCATTCGTCAATTGTCTAGTGAACTTTCTGATTTCGATTGTTAGTGAGGTAACGTTTATGCGAAGTCTGTGTGTGCAGAATTTAAGTAAACGAAATTATTTCATAAAGAAACCTAATACCTTAGTACTTGTTCAGTTTCTGTTTAACCGAGGTTATTTAATTTAATCAATATTATGATTAATATACACTCTTTACTTTTAGTAAGGTTAGAAAGATACTGTTCAAACAAACAATACTGTACCATAAATAAACATTAGATGTATCAAATCTCTTTAAAAAAGTCAAACATTTATTCTTACCTGATTTATAATAAAAAATAAATGAGTTCATTATGAGACATAGATTACTTGGTATATTAATCACGATTTTATTAACTATTGTTCACTTTGATTACCAGTATTCGTCAGTGACGATTTTAAACGTTAATTAAGTGAAAGCTCAGTCTAAAGAGCACCTACTGAGTCTTAGTATCATTTCAATTTTAAATGTGAATAGAATCAAGTCATAATAATAGAAAACTGATAATATAGAATGAATCACTAGATGACATCAAAAATCTTACCTGCGAATTCAAACGTGAAATAATATTTTCTCAAGAGATTCAGATTCAAAACCAATATAAAACAGAGAGTTGTGTTCATCAAGTTATGATAAGCAAAGATACGTCATGTAGAAATTATTACTGGTTTGACGCGAAATTCAAAATGAAATAAGGGAAGCACATAGTTACCGCACTATTTATTCAGTACAAATTCAGTCCTTTCTATGATTCATTTATTTAACCAGTGAAATAAAACAAACTGGTACTAAGTAGTTTCATGTAAAACATTGATAAAATTTTACAGTTTCTGTTTTTCCATATCAGTATTTGATTTTATTCAAATATTCTAATATGGTTAAAACCACAAAGTATAAATACACAATCAAGAAAAATATATTTATTTTACTCACCAGTATATCTCAGATCAGATTCTGCTAGACGATTCATATACAAAGATAAATAAATTGAAATAAAAAAAAATTTTTTGAATTAATTACAGAATTTATTGTTGTTGTTTTATAAATTTTACTAAATTCATTATGATATACTATCAGTACTATTTATCAATAGTGAGAAATGAACTCGTGTTTCACTGGATTTAACAAGATATGATACACTGTTTTATAAGCTAACTAACTATATATATCCACTATTCACTGATCAGAATAGGGATACACTGTGTTTCAAAATTTTTCACATAGTTTGTAAACAAAGTCTAAAATACCATGCACTCATTAAAACTGGTAATATTCCGAGACTTGTCTAATTGAGGGATAATATTTTTATTGCGAACCATGATAAGTTAAAGTACCAGTGTTTATCAGAGATTTGTTGAATAAACTTATCTTTGCAGTCCGTGATTATTGAGTAGTTTGTAATCAAAACTTATACTGTGATATAATTTCATTTCTTACGGTTTCATAACGAAAGATTTACTGAAAAGTCAATTAATTTAAGCCCAGTTTTGGCTATGTTTAACTTCAGTTTTTTTGCAATATGCTTTGTCATCTTAGATTTAAGCGTTTTCATAATTCACAAACTGAGTGACCTCACGAATTTCAGTTACCTAAACTAGAATGACGTAATTACCTGGTGAAAAATAGGTCTGTCTAAGTCTAGCTGGATCAGTTCACGAGGTCACTGAATGTTGATATGAGTTGTGTAGAGAGATACATACTTCTTGGTATTAGTTTTTGATGTATTTATAGTCTGTAATTGGTGACTAAAAGTGATGCAGATGAAAACCGTCCGTAGTTGTTCAGATAAGTACACTACTTATCTCCCAGTTCTTGAGTTCAATATTATTGCCGCTGTTCCTTATTCGAATTAGGTTTAAAGTCCTCATTAATATTATAAAATGGATTACTGTGGTCTTTATTTATTAATTTCTAGACCCTATTACGGTGTGAATTCGAACCGACATACAATTATGTCCGAATCCAACATTGTCTATGACTAACAAGTACAGCCACTTTATCCCTTAAATAGCTTTTCAGATAATCCTATGTGGTAATTAAAACTACCTTCAGGGTATGTTGTTATAAGTTATTAAGGCAGGCCACCAGTAAACGCTGTTTTATTATCTAGAAAGAAAACTAAAGGATTACTATTTAGTTACAGTATAGTCTTTCCATTCTTACCTAATTACTTGATGTATTCAGATTTTCAAAATGAGAAATTAACTAGTCCTGACACCCATAAAAATCATAAAACTCACCTATTGCATAGCAATTACATCTCACGCAAAGTTATCAATTTGAAATTACAAACAGAACATTGATCTAGATGCTTTTTTATTCACCTGGTCTCAACTAATAAGTGCATTTTATTACCACATTTTATCTAAAACAGTCATGATAATTTCAAAACACACTATATCTTACTGGTTCCTGATAAAACGTGTCTCAAGGATATTCTGATGATAATTCTGAATAAATCTAATAATTAATCAGGATACTAACACTCTGTATTTTAAAAAATATACAACCCCAATAGCCAATAACATAGAACAGTGTAGTTCTTCCATTTGTCAAAAATGCTTGACAATATTTATATAACCTTATTGTCAAATATATATGGATGCAATCTGGTTATACGTTTATTTGTTTGTTGAACGTGTTGGAGATGCCAGATACTCAGAAGCCAATTGCCTGTTGTTGTGTTGCTGACCTTCGTACCGTTTGCTGTTTTTAGGTGATATTGTAATCTCTACGAACGTAGCAAACGACAACGTGATGATCTTATCCATTTCAGACACAGAAATACTAGAAACAAAGCTAGATTTCCCATCTGTATAAACCACTATGGTACTTGGATTTCGTATGTTGTAAATTCTACTATACCTAATATTCTACATAGACATTTTCGGTTGAAAGTGACATTCTTTACCGATGAATAAACATAAATCATGAAAAGCTTTAAAAACCACCAAAATTATCAGATTTATTTGATAAACATCTAATCAAATAATTATCTTTATTATGCATATTGAATACATTCCAACACCCTAAGCTTTATTGATGTATACAACAACACAAAATACTTAAAATCAAACATTCTTATGTGTAAACTACTCTATCCAATTTATATTACTTTATACATTATGAAACAATGAAATTATTAAATCTCCTAATGCAACACGAAAAAGATAAATTCTGAGGAAACAACTGGGAAAGGTAGATAAATACGACTGAAATACAATGTATTTCTATTCAGTCAATAATACTTCAATCAACTGGGCGAGACTATAATTTATGGACGAATCAATCACGTATAAGATAACAGGTCTCGGATTTTGGTGCAAAATTCACTCATTCATCCGGATAAATAGAGTTTGGCATTACAGCTGATGTCGGTTCGTGGTGGAAACCACAAATCTAATTTCTAACCTTAATGATCAACTGTAAATCATAATCCTAATTCCTCACACAGGTTTATAACCCTCATTTGATCCTGGTTATTAGGTGGACACTCTCAAGGTCAGTCTGGCGCCGCCCAAAGGTCGTCCATAAATTATACTCTTATGAATAATTAATATAACAAGACATTATTCCATACTACATTCTAAACATTTAATCCAGAATATTAAGAACTCTCTGTTTAATAAACTGGACGGTAATATATACAGCATATAAAGTTTGAATATCACTTAAAATTACAAGAACACTTGTATTCGTATACATGATAATGGAATTTTACAGGATCCTAAAGTTTTGTGATGACTGGAACATTTGAGGACAAAAAGAATGGTGCAAAACAAACTGACAAAAATGCATAAGTTCAATTTTCTGCACATTTTATAAGCAAAACACTGAGGTAAAATATAAAATAAGAGAGATATCCAGCTAAGTATTAAAAAACTTATGAGGTAATGAGAGACAAACGAATTTAGAATTTGAAATTTAAAAAAATTGGAGATAAAACACTGAACGAATTTAATTAGACTACTATGATGATAAAGAGAGTTAGTATTACTGGTTTTTCAAGTTGAAGAGTTTTTAGAGATTCCTCGAAGTTAATCCTCGTCATGAACTAACTTCAGTTGGAAAATCCCTGAAAATCATGAGTCACTGGGTGTTATTTCGTATTAATTAACTATCCAGCTATGTGGTACAATGCTGGAAATTTTATATATAAGACTGAAAGTTTCAGTTATTCTGGGCTTTTGATAAAAATTAACTTTGATCTAATAAGTTCAACAAGTAAGTAAAAATTGGATACAAATATTTACTTTTACACATAATGTTTAACAATTTCAACTGTCAAGTCAAAATTATTTGACAGCAGGGAAAAATATTTAATTCCTTTAAATCTGATACTTTTCGCCTTAAATATTCGGTAAGATAGACTGTCTCAACGATAGAATTTAGTTGTCCGATCTTTTCTGGATTTTTAGTATTCGTGGGCTGTATCAATCACGGATTGAAAACCACAGAGAACAAATAACTGTTTCTCCCTATTATTGGACTCCTCACATTTAAAACTCTGCCAAGAATCGAATTCAAGATCTTCGGGTTTCGTGATGAACCCTTAACCATAAATATCACGAAGTTAGTGTCCTATACATATGAACTCCGGTCACGGCTTCTCACTTGACCTCAGGGAACATCTTCACTTAAATCACTGATGTTTCCACTAGCTTGATATTATGAAGACACGAATTTCCATACTACTAAGTCACCTGTTTTTATTCCCTAAATATATTAATATACTTCTAGTTTTGTTTTCAACAGACATACTCAAATTCGTTCTTTAAAGCTGTATACAACTGAAATAAAAGTTGAAAGTAAGTTAAAAACCACTTGGAAGATTTATTTTGTGGTAACCCGATCTGTTGGGAGAAATGTAAACTATCTTCGAGAATAAAGCATTGGTTATTTAAGCAAATAATTACTTGATCTTTTGAGTGATATGGCATTAATAAAACAAAATACATAACCTTATGAAGTCACCTACAGTTGCGTACATAAATTTACGTGTGTTTGTGAGAGCAAGTACATAAGGAGTACTGAGAAGTTTTTACAGGGTTTTCAGGACATGTTCTTCTAAATATATCCATGAAAAGAAGAAACGCCCTTATAAATATAGTCCCCAGACAGCTAATGAATATTCCATATGAAGTGTATATTTGTAACGCACTCGAAACGACTAACAAACAATGGACATCACTCTTAATTTGCTTCAAACTGACTATCGACATGAAGTATTTCCGAGTTAAACTTGAGTTTACAAAAGAAAAATTTGGTGGACTTGATTGTTTTCAAACAAATTCATCAATTGCACGCCCTTACTTTTATCTATTCGCAGGTTTTTACCATTTGAGTTAATTCTATCCATTCTATGCTATTCAATTATGTAAACACTTATTTTTATTTCAAATATCTTGTGATTCCACAACACCTACTTTATCTAGTTACATTTTTTTACATGAAAATATTCATCATTCTCAATTACAATGCATAATATACATTTTGAGTGGTTCATCAAACAGACTTATGTTTCAATTTGATCGACCTTACTATTCTAAACTTTAATTCTTAACGTTGAGTTATTTACATCTTACAATCCTGTATTTCTTACTGTCCATTATTTTGTTAAAAATTATCCAGTGAATCAGATTTATGTCACAAATTTATTCATAATTTTTGAGAACATATTACTCAATCTATATTTGTCTTCTATTTTGTTTTCTACACTTATGCTTCTTATCAATGTCATCTTTTTGTTGTTGTTGTTGTTGTTGTTGTAAATTTCATCTTTCTATCTATACAACTACAAATTATTGACAATTTGAACCTGTAAAACTTTATATAAGATTCTACTAAAATAAACTATATATATTTCCGTAATTCACAGTACATTGCTTACAATAAACAAGGCATATAAGTTCAATGTCCTAAGCATTACAATTAATTTCAAGTTAACCAGCTGG